GTATATGGAGTTACGACGATAGTACAACTCTGAATGGCGAAGACTGAAATGCGCCTGACCTTTCGCTTGAGGCTGTCAGACTTGGCGATAAAGATTGAAGGCACTACGAATAGTGCGATGTCTCGCCACTCTACAGGGAATCTGCTGCTCCACGCCACGCAAAATGGCACCCACCATCCTTCATGTAGCAATCGAACGGGGAGTGATAAGTGAGTGAGGTTGTTCCTGCTTCACTTTAAAGGTTCACGCAGGGCTGGACATTCCCTTGCTGTAGCATGCAAAGTGATGAACATACTGTACAAGTACTTGATGCATTGTAGATGATAAGGGAAAGAGCGAAATGCAAATTCAAAACTTGAGATGCTCCTGACTTTGCAGTCCTGAGACTGCAAGATGAGAGATCATACAGTACTGTAGTAACCGCTCGCAAAATAGGTTTTGCGAGAGGAATACTGTATGTACTGTGTGACAGATCCAAGCAAAACCTATTACACGCCATAACAGTTCATGATAAAATGTGGCACGTGACCGTTTTTTTCTAGGCATGTCTGGTGAAAAGGCCGTATCCTACCCAGTCCTTCACCGATTTTGACTTTTTAAAGCTCAATAAACACATAAAGCGCGCATATACAGTATATGCACATAACACATATAACACATAAAGCGCGCATATACAGTATATGCACATAACACATATAACACATAAAGCGCGCATATACAGTATATGCGCGCTTTATGTGTTTATTGAGCTTCAAAAAGGCAAAATCGGTGAAGGACTGGGTAGGATACGGCCTTTTCACCAGACATGCCTAGAAAAAAACGGTCACGTGCCACATTTTATCATGAACTGTTAGTCTTTCCAAAACGCGAACATGTCCAGCCGAAATTTGATTGATATATGAGTTGCCGCCGAACAAGCCTCACACGCAATGCTGGTACTGTCGGAATTTGCCCCGGGAGCGGGTGGGTGATCTGAAACGTGGACAGGTGGCGCAACTGAGGCTCTGTGCGCAAAGGGGGAAGCACAGGCCGGGGCGGCGCGGTCTCCCGACAGTGCGCGTACCCTACTAGGGTACGCACACACAATACTGTACAGAACTGATGAGAAAAGCCAGATGAGAAAGGGGGGGATAGATCTGTTGTCTAGCTAGAGACGACAAGTGATCTCATATGGATAGACACTAGACCTTCCCACCCCTCACCGCCCTCTCATCCGCACGAAGAGGGCCTGCTGCACATGTACTGCACATCAGCAGACGACTTTGGTAAAAGTAAAGCACCTGCAATCGTAGGGACCGCGTGCATATTCTGTACCCTTGGGGTACCCTTGGGTACCCCAAGGTAACCGCGTCCCATACGCACACAGCAGTATCGATGCTGATTCAATGCAGTACAGTACTCCCTCTCCCGTCCTAACCTCGCCTGCTTCTCGCTCTGCGGCAACGCCAATGGTCTTGATGCAATATCTCGTGACTTGTCACATCTCCAGGAGTTGCCCTCTCCTGTGCAGTGTGGGATGTCGTGAGGAATTCCTTTAAAGAATTAGGAAAAGAGATTTTATTAAAGTGTCAATGGACAGGTCTACAACCGACCGTCCGAGCCCGTGCGAAGTCCGTGCAGTCAGACAGTTTTTGCAGGTAGGCTCTGCGTTTTGACACAAACCTCTGGCCCGGTACGAACCTACAGTCCGCAGCGCGAGCCTTACTTATATACTACAAACCCTTACAATATCATAAAGAAAGACAAATTCTGACGCATCCAGCAATTAGAGAAATGGATGCGCCTCCATATCATACATTGTTTCACATGCAGGGAGGCCTGTGCAGCTGCCCTCTGCTGTCGAGATGCAGACCAACCGTTGCGGAGTAGAAATTAGCATGCTTTCGTGCATTCCTTTAAGGTTGATGCACTTGCCCGTTTTTTCACTTCCGTTATACAGTATACTGTACAAGGCCTTCTCCCGAGTGGCGGGAGAGGAAGAGGCAGAAGAGAGAAAAGTGGTCAATGTCCCGCTAGTCAACGTCCCGCTAGTGGAAGTGGCTCGACCACGCGAGCGCTCACCATTGCGAGACATTAACTAGGCAAGGGTTGATCAACATTAAATATCTCCTTATTTTTCCTACCCTAATCGCGTATTTTGTGAAAAATACCGCTCGCGGGTATGGCGGAAGCGCTTTCTGTCGTTGGTGCGGTACAACCACACGTCTCAACAACATTCCTCTAAACTTTAAGAGACATGTTGTAAATTTACACATTGCACTTGGTTGCTCCTTCACGCTTCATTGACATACATGGCAAGCACGAATGCTGTTAAAGGTCTGCACAGTAAGTGCTTGCAATTTCCGATGTCCGACAAGTAGGGGTTGTCTCCTGGATACGAGTGCAGACACTCTCCGAGTGCAGATATGTCCCCTCACCTGGCAGACAAACGGTATATCACAACCCCATACTGCACCACGGGTGCTGTGCGTACTGTACCCAAGGGTACGTGTTCTCAACGTCGCCTGCCTGGATTAAGGCCAGAGGGTAGGTGAGGAATAGTAGACCTGTTTCATATTATGTGCGCGGAGTTCTAAGCTTCGCTTAAAGTTTTGGTAGAATTCCGACGTCAAGCAGCGTGATGCGTATGTCTTATGCAGATAAGTACGGATCTCGTGCCGTGATTGATTACCAGGCATAGCTTCCAGACAATATTCTCTACATGATATGATTCTGTGAATCAAGGGAAAGATGAAAAGAACGATGCAACTCTTCTCCATGGGGAATCAGGCGAAGTAGAAAGAGGAACAAGTGAATGGTCAAAAAACGGGTACGGCCAGACTCTGGCAGTAGCGGAAGCGGGCCGCCGAAGAGGCTAGTATCCCTTTCTTCGCAGGTTTTTGCGAGAAGAAAGTGAAAATGTGTATGACCAAGTGATCTTAACATTGAAGAGGTTGCCGAGTGTGCCAGAGCTAAACAAATTCCATTTAGTGCTTAGGGTTAGCGAAGAGTGAATTTGGCTGTATGTCGGACTGGCACACACGCTAGAAGAGGTTTTAGCTGTACACGATGTTCGCTGCAGAGGTTGGACGAGAAATTTAGTTGCCATAGTCGAAAGCTCTCATAACGTGCATGAAACTGTATCGTCTATCTGGAAATAAGAGATACTGCTGTAGCATGTGTCATCGAATTAATGATGTGGGAGTATAATTAACTGCGCACTTCAGAGCTTGACTGCGCACTTCAGAGCTTTTTCGTTTGACACTGTCGGAAGACCGGAATGATCGAGCAGTCTGTATGCGAAACGGTAGAAGGCAGAAGTGGCTGTAAGGTTCGCTAAGATATCAACCGTCCTATTCTGTATGAATCAGGGCTGGCAGCGGCACGAGAGGGCTACTGCAATGACTGTGCAGTGCGATAGATAGGAATGGACAGTGGCAAATAAATGAAAGATGGCACGGCAACAGAGACACGATTGATTGACTCACGGAAAGCTAACATATGGAAGAGAAAGGGGTTAGATAAGTGACAGTATAATGGTTTATGATTCTTATAAGCAACGAGAGGAAGGCTTTGTGTCGTAAAGAAGTATTGATCCTTTCACAGGATTTCTTGCCGTCATTGTTACTGCTTCTCGACGTATTTCCTATGGCTTGGTTGTTCGATGCAAATTCTTTCTGCCTCTTTTTGTATGTTGCAATCAGTTCTGTGTTTTAGATGGATGCAATGAATGAAGCGCAACCAAAGGAAATTCTTGGTTGCCTATGCGTTATATACATACGCCTCATTATTGGCCGAGCAACGTTAGAGATGCCTTCAATATGTCCGTTTTATTGAGTTTTACTCAATAGTACGGTCATTCAGGCAGAACTGGGAGGGCTTTTTTGGGAGCCTCTGGCCGGGGGCTGCTACTGAATGTTGTGCATAGTTTGGCCTTGAGAAGGGACGCAGTCACTCTCGGAGGGGCCGGAGCAGGCTTCGCACCTCGGAAGAGATAGCAAGGGTACAGGTAGTTGGTGGAATTCTCATACAACTGGAAGGCATCTGACTGCGCCGCATAATTCACACTGTGAATTATGTGGCGCAGTCAGATGACGGGCCAGTCATGGGGTTTAAGAAAACGAACGGATAAATCTTGCCGTGGCTCGCAAAAGCAGATGGGGCCGTCTGTGGGGTCGGGCATGTCAGACGTAGCCTTTCTTGATAAGGTCTCAAGTTGAGACTCTCAACCAACAGGTGGTGTTTGATTCCAATAGGAAGGTTTCGAATCCAACTGACAGTAGTCTCGAAATGAGGAATCGAAAGCTCCACACCGCATGCTGCTGGCAATGAGGACCTAAACCTTATAATATAATATAATTGAGAGACATGACCTGCCACTTTCATAATGTGAGTCTCAATAGTCTGACCATTCGCTGGCCTTCTTCGCATCCAGAGAGACGTTACAAAGCCTTGCCCTTGCCAAGTAAAAAACGTTTGTGAACAGGTGAACGGACAGAGGAGATGTGAAAGCTAGTTGTCAACAAGTTGGCAATAAGTTACCCTACAACTGTACGCACATAAAAATAGAACGGACGTGGAATTTTGTTGTCAACAAGGATAACGGTGCAACACTGTATTCCCCCAAATGACTGAGATTTTCGAAACATCCACTCAGACGTGGTTGACGTCAATTGCGACCTGAAGAGTTGATTCAATGGAAATCGACAATCAATAGAAACACATTGCTGTACAATCCGTTCGTGGCGCAAATCTGTGCTTGCCCTAAATTTCGAAGATTCTTTCTCTGGAATGTAGAGCACCTCAATCAGGATCTGCAAGATAGGCTGCCTGGCAATAAACGGATAAGTCAGTCATCAACATACAGACTGAAGTTACAGAATTGCTTAGTTCTGCTCTTTTAAGTTGAAAGTCTGTCCTATCTTATAGACAGAGATGCCCTTCTCGGCGCGTGGAGAAGGTCGTCATTGTCGTCTGCTCCGAGGTAGGAAAAAGTCGCAACTAGTTTCAAAACTGCGATCATGTCGCGGCCTTCGTCGATTCCGGGCGATGGCACCAGCGACCCATTTACGATGCAGGATCCACGCCCTACCCCTTCCTCAAGGGAAAATTCACACGTGCATCACATTCATGAGTTTGGAGAAGTTGACCGCATTGTTCATGTGGCACCAAGCGAGACGAGCATCACGGACGACCACGACCCAGTCGTACCGGCCTCTGCCGACCAGAGTCCTTCCGCGAAGATCAAGCGCGAAAAGCGTGTCTGGAATCGCTTGTTCCATGACCGCCATCTCATGCAGTACTTCTATCAGGGGACATTGTATCGCACGGTCGGAAAGCGGAAAGTTGGCACTGAAGAACTTTTCTTTGACTTGGTCATAGTCGCTGCAGTAGCAGCCTTAGGCCATGAGTTACGCATTTCGGAGATTACCTGGCAGTCCACAGAGAAGTTCATTCTGCTCTTCTCGGCAGTCTACAACAGCTGGCGACAAAGCGTTCTCCTGTGGAACTTGTGGGGTATTCAGGAAGATCTGTTAGAAAAAGCAGGCATATACGTGACATTTTTTGCTTTGTCAGGTATTGCTTTGGGTGGTCACAATGCCTTTGATGATCTAGCCCGCCCTTTTGTGGCTGTTTCAGCCTTTGTCGCAAGTGCCATTCCAGCTCTGGCAGGAGTTGCGTGGTCTTTCTCGGAGAGCTTGATGAAGAACCCCGCCAATCGAGTTAACCAGCTCATTTTGTCAGACATTTTCACATTCGTATCCATCGTACCGTATCTGATTGCCGCTTGTGTTCGAGATGAAAACTTGACTCGGAATTTGTATTGGGTTGCCTTTGGTCTTCAACTTGCGGCTTTATTGATTCCGCATCAACTTTATCGGCATTTGCACAGAAGAATCGATGATTATACTCGTATTGCCTTGAACATTGAACTGGTAGTAGAGAAGTATGAAGTTTTGACGATGATCGTCCTCGGGGAAACAATGATTGGGTTGCTGTTTGAAGGCGGGAGTAAGTTTTGAAAACTGATCTCTTTTAGAATTATGTTCCATATCGAATGCGCAGGATACGGAAAGTGAGCGCGACTAACCTATCTGGTCTGCTATTTCGTTCTTGAATTTTTTTTTTGTATCAGCTGCAATTTTACAAGAAGGGGTACGAGTGGGTTATATGTATCTCTCAGCGATGTTCTCTACGGCTATGTTGTATTCTCTTCAGACACTATACGTCCAAGTCGACGGCCCCATCCAGAAGGGCGGAACGCATGCGATCCGGCACAGCACATGGGCTGGATTTGGGTGGGGTTTGCTGCACACGCCGTACCACTTGTTTCTGATCCTTTTCGCGACCGGTTTGAACCTCAATTTTCGAGACATTGCTGTACCGCCGACAGCAGAAGTGGCCCGCAATTTGGTGCGTGCAGGAGCTGAGTCTGCTTCAAAAATACCTGGGGCGCCTCACTTCACCACAAATGCCCAATGGCTTTTTTGCGTCGGATGGGGAGGCTCACTCATCTCTTCTGCTCTGATCGGGGCATTTCACAAAGCTGGTCCTCGAGCAGCAACAAAAGGGATACGCCTTGTCCTGAGGTGTGCCGTAGCAATTGGATTCATGGTCGGTTTGCCGTTGAGTGACTTCTCAGCAACTTGGTTCCAGGCTACTACTGCTATGGTGACTGTATCAATGGCCTTCACAGAGTTTGTTCTTGTGCAGATGGACAGAATCGGCTACTTCAGGTCGGAGCGATTTTTGGCACGTGTCGAGAAAGACGAAAGTCAAAAGCTCGATGGGGTCGAGGCCGCTACAGACTCCCAGTCTTCACACTCAGGTGCGAATGAATGCGTTGAACAGGGGATACATGCTCCACAGCCGCAAGGAGATATTGAATCAGGAAAACAAGAGTCAGGCAAGTCAAAGGACCTTATCGCACTTGAAAAGCGCCTTTCTCAGAACCACAAAAAGCGCCTTGTCCCTGTATACCCTAAGGAACAGCAAAAGAGAACAAATCATGGAGAAGGGCTCGGATAAGGCTCGCAGGGCCGATAATTGTTGATCGGTATTTTTTCGTCTTGAATTTGACGCAAAAGCCTCCCCTGCAGGCATTTGTCTGCATTTTCAAACTTCATATCGGGTAGGCACTACGGTTCCCGGCAGTACTGACTTTGGAGCACGATTATGTTCTAAGGCTCTCGCAGCTCAATTACTTGAGTAGGCAACCGTGAAATGCAATATCATACATCTAATTTTAGTGCACTGGCCTTCTCCAAAGTATTGCTTCACGATGTCTTTCGACCTATGCCTATGCCGAGCGCATCCGTCTATTTTCGCATGAAGTAAAGCACGCGAACTATTTCGCATCGCTACTTTACTGAATTCTTCTGTGCACACATTTGTACTCTGCGGACATAGATGCCTTCCGGCCGAGTGAGGCGGTGCTGGCACAGTTGCCAACGTTGGAATGATATTTTTACTTCTTTTTCTTGGACGTGGTATCCCTTTATTCGGGAGATGCTCAATGCCGAAAGGGCACAAGAAGATGAACAAGAGATATCGATGGGGGCTTGATGCGCATAACTTGGAGGATAAGCTCATGTTTCGAGGGATGGGTGTTTGACGAATGTGGACGGCGTCCTCAAATTCTAACCCAACATAATATGCCATATTTGTCGAACGGGACACGCTCGCGTGGTGTGCTGTAAGATGATACAGCATTACAGAAGTCCCAGACCTATTCAGTGATCTCTTATTGCTCATCGGATTAGATCAAGAAGGAATTGGGAGAAAGGGTCGGAATGGTCGCGGCTATAGAAGGGAAGGGTCACCAAAGACCAAAGGTCGTGGGTTTTTAGTTAGTGCGTTAGTGCAAGCGGACGCGAAGTTTCGTTATCAGCAAGGAGGCAAGAAAGTGCGTACGCTGCGAACTAGGCTAAGAGCTTCTCCTTGAAGCTCTCTCCATTCCCCTCTCGGTAAGACGATCAAGAATAAACAACTGAAGCTTTATTGCTACATTGGCGGAGCCCTCCTGTGCGGACTCCGTAACTACGTCTTCGCCCGATTCGCGTTCCGCTCTAGGAACGACTCAGGCTCCTGTGCGCCTGTGTTAGAATCAGACCTGACTAAGAAAGGACAACCTTGTCATAGAGGTTTTCCGACATTCCGGAATTAAGGAAGGCTTCTTTGTCATCCTTAGAACAAGACTAAGAAACAATGCCCTCGAACCCACCTCCCCCGATACCATCGCTGTCTGACGATCCCCCTCCGACAAATTCCCATGTCGGCCCATTTGGAAACATTCGTCTAAGCAACGCTCATCAAGAAGGAATTTACAACTTGTTCACAGGTTATTCCACGCTGCTCCCCATCCCCACAGGGGAAGATCTTCTGTCTCAGATACGTGAAGACCTCGAACCTCGTGAGCTAGTCGATCCCATGATTACCGTCAACTACGAAATCTACAAGAAAATACGATCCTTCTTAAACGAACACGGGGTAGACACGCCTTCAACTGGAGCCTCAGGAGGTCTCATTGTCAACCGGCTACTCCACACTATTTGGAATCGCCCGGAAGATGCAGGAGAACGTGAGAGAGCCGTTGCTCAATTCAAAGCAATTAAGCGAGGGACCTTTGCACCCAATTCCCCCATTCAAAGCCCAGTTTCTGCACCGTTTGCAAACCCCGTCCCGATTTCACCACATACCCCGCAGTTCACCGCGACAAACTCTAACAATGGTGCAAAAGGAATGAGCATTGCGTATTCTTCAGAAAGACAGAAGTTTTGGGGAAAAAGCGACGAAGACTGGCTGACTAAACTCTCTCGATATCAATTCATGTGCAATCAAAACAAAGTAACTGGCGCTGACAAGATTAATTTCTTGCATTATCTGCTGGATGGCGCCGCACTTCAGTTCTTCATCAACGAGATACAGGGCAGAATATCCAATTGGGGAGAAGTCTTACGTCGTTTCCAAGACCGCTACGCATCCGCAGCTAAACAAGATTACATTTCTCATCGCTTGGACCAGATCCATACGTCACAATTTGAAGTGGTCGGGGAAACTTCCGAAGCTCAGGCGCTGCGCAAAACCATCGATGAAATTGACAGACTCACCCCGATGTCCCATCCTGAAGATCGCTCCGACAGAGCAAAAATGCTCCACCTGCAGCAGGCCGTGCTGGGTAAAGAATGGGCTCGTAGTGTATTGTCCAACGTTACTGCGAATGAACTGCACTATCACACGCTCATCGAGAAACTAGAATACTCTCTGCAACAAACCACGAAACATGAGGCAGCAAAGGCCAACAACATCGAGGGAAGTAGTAATTTCAGGACTGCACGGTGGAAGTCGACGAACTTTGCAGGACAGGGTCGGTATGGCACCGAGCCGAGCAGTCGTAACTCAATCGTCCCAAAGCATCATGGTAACAACCGCGGCTCTTTTGGCCACGGACCACGTCAGTTCCCGTATCCGAAGGAACGCTGGCCTCGCAAACAATCACCAGATCGCGATTCGCTCACGTGTCACAACTGTGGCAAGGTCGGGTGTCGCTGGTTCCGATGCAAAGAGCCACTAGACATGCAGCGCGTGGTGAGAAACAGGATGAAATCCGCAAGCCGCAACTCGACTTCTCCAAAGGTAAACATAGCAGACGTTGTCGATGATCTTGCTCAAGACATGATGGAGACCTTTATCCTCACGCAAGAGGACGAGGAGGAAGGGATCGAGCAAGAGACCGCGAACGAGCAGCTGATGACACAGTTGACAAAAGGCGCCGCGCGCGAAGCTGCCATTAATCACAATGCTCACTTCGAAATGCCAGATAACCTAATGGATGATACGGATCCCGATGACGATCCGGATGCCACTGAGGATTTTTGCAACGGGGCTTGATTTGCCAGCAAGTCCCGATACTCAGGCACAAAGACCCTCCGGACAAGACGCCCGAAAGAATTGGCAAGGGAAGGACGCGCCCGAGCTACCCCCGATTTTTCGGGAACGTGCGTACCACAACCCCAATCTCAAGTCCGCACTACTCCGGTCGGATCGTCAAGGAGGTGCTAAAAGTGAATGTCACCCGACCTGACGGCTTTCGCCAGTATAACAGTCGCTTCTTTAAAGGTGCGTGCGCTGACACCGGCGCCCAGAAGTCAGTCTGCGGTCTCGACCAAGCGAAGGCATACTGTCGTGCTCGCAAGCAGCCCTTCAAGCTGATCCAGTCACCATACTCCTACAAGTTTGGAGATGGCATTCGCGCAAGTCTCGGTATGATAAAAGTAAGAATGCGAATCAAGAGAGGTTGTTATCTACCGTTTTGGGTGGATGTCGTGGATGCTGATGTTCCCCTACTATTCGGTCTGGATCTACTAGACCGACACAAGCTCGTCGCGGACAACACTGACAACGTCCTCGTCAGCAAAATTGGTGGCTGGCAAGTACCGATAGTTAGAGCACACGGTCACATGTTCGTTCGATGGGACTTACACGAGGTTATGTACACCCGCACCGAACTCGAGCGACTACACCTACACTTCTTTCATCCTTCCGTACAGAAGCTGCTCAACCTCCTGAAACGAGGCACTCCAGATCGCGTCAAGAACGATACACCCACTATCATCCAAGATATCGTAGACGAGTGTGCAGGATGCAAGCGTTTCGGTATTCGTCCGTATCGTTTTAGAGTATCATTGCCGAGTGATGAGGTGATTTTTAATCACGAAGTCGCCGTAGATCTCTTCTGGGTTGGCGGTAATCCTATCCTCCACGTCGTCGATACCCATACTGGTTATCAAAATGTCGCCCTTCCGAAGAGTCTGTCCGCTAGGCATGTATGGGATGCGTTCTTAGAGGCGTGGGTTACAGTGTACGTCGGTATCCCCAATCGTATCCGTGCTGACCAGGGCTCTGTCTTCACTTCCAAGTTTTGGGACGACATCACTACGCTACATGGTATCGATCTTCAATTATCAGGAACACAGAGCCACAACTCGATCGGAATCGGTGAAAGATATCACGCCCCTCTACGGCGGATATTTCGAGTCATTCGTTCGCAGTATCCGAAGCTCGATCCCGAGATTGCTATTCGCCTTGCTGTAAAGGCCGCCAACGATACACTAGGACCGAACGGTTATGTCCCCTCACGGTTAGTCTATGGAGTTGATCCTGCATTTCCGGTAGTGAACGCGCAGTTGCCAGCTCAGCGAGAACGCATGGCAGCTTTAGAGACGGCAAAACTCGAAATGGCGACAATCACAGCGCAACTACGCATCCAGCAAGCACTTAAATCAAAGCTTCCACCAGCCAGTAGATACGACATCAGACCGGGGGATGAGGTCCTGGTCTAGCGAGAGAAAGAGAAAGAATGGTTGGGGCCATATCGAGTTGTGAAGATCATGGAAAAGGAGGTATATGTCGACTGGGACGGAAAGGAGCAGCACTACAACCTGTCGCAAGTCATACCCATGCCCAAAGAACAGGGCGACAGAGAACTGAAACGCCTATTCGATGGGATGGAGCAATTTACATCCAACCCGCCCCCCGGAGTATTAGTCACTGAAGTCCTGCACCCCGCCGATTCGAGGAGCCGCTCAGGGATGTTCGATGATGCCAAAGCAAAGGAGCTCGCCGGTCTTGCCGAACGAGGAGTTTATGAAGTCGTGTGCCGCGAAGATGTCCCGTCTGACGCCAACGTCCTCGGCGGCCGTTTCGTCCTTGCGATCAAGAACGTCCGCACTGAGGGTGAATTATACAAAGCTCGCTTTGTCGTCCAGGGTCACACGGATATCGAGAAAAACATGCTGGTGCACAATAGCACCAACCTGCGACAAGGTTCCATTCGAGTCCTCATCGCCATCGCAGCGGTTTTTGGGTTCCGCATATGGTCACAGGACGTATCACAGGCATACCTCCAGAGTGCCGATAAATTAATGCGTGAGGTGTACGTCAAGCCTACAAAGGAATTTAATCTGTCGTCGGACCAGTTATTAAGACTACTAAAACCGCTGTATGGCTTAGCGGACTCTGGCGACTACTGGCATGAGACATTCTCGAAGCACTTACAGCAAGACCTCAACATGCGACCAACTACTGGCGATCTGTCCCTGTTCTTCAAAGTCGTAGAAGGTAAACTTAAAGGTATGACAGGCGCGTACGTCGACGACACCATCGGTACGGGAGATGATGAATTCGAAAAGGAATCAAAGAAAACTGGAGATCGATTTCAATCAAAGCCGCGGGAGAACGACAATTTCCAATTCGCAGGCATCCAGATAGAGAAAACTGAAGATGGCTACCTCATGCATCAGGAGCGATTTGCCAAGAAGATCTCCTCGCTTTCAAAACAATGCACATTTGCTGAATTCCGTTCAAAAAGACACGAGCTCGCTTGGCTGACACATACACGCCCCGATATATCCGCCGCAGTCAACTTAGCTGCCCAAGTCACGGAGTCGAAATTCAACGCAAAACACGTCAAGAATTTGAATGACACCGTCAAACGGATCCACGCTAGGCCTCGGAGAGGCATCATGCAGCAGATATTGGACAAGAATACCCTGTCACTACGCGTGTTTACCGACTCGTCGTTCGCCAACACCCCCGAGCTTCGATCACAACTGGGTTTTATAGTACTTTTGTGTGACGGCAGCGGCAAGTGCAACATACTCCATTTCAGTTCGTATAAGAGCAAACGCGTCACGAGGTCTGTGATGGGCGCAGAGGTGCTCGCCTTCGCCGACGGCTTTGACTATGCATACCTCCTCCGTCACGATTTGAATCGCATCTCAGGACAAAATCTATCTCTCGCCATGTTGACGGATTCTGACAGTCTTTTCAAAACAATTGTGAAGTCTACCACGACGACGGAAAAGCGTCTCATGATAGACATTGAGGCAGCACGCGACGCGTACAGCCGGCAAGAGATCAGCAACGTCGGATGGATCAAGTCCGAAGACAATCCTGCAGACGGACTGACAAAAGCCGCCCTGTGCCCCGCACTTGAGAGATTGCTTGATACTGGGCGCCTGGATACCCCTGTTCAGCAGTGGGTGGTTCGGACACCGCTTCGCAGTAAGCAAAAAGGCAAGTGACCACGACTTTGTTCTCAGAAAATCCCCGAGTGTCGAACGGGACACGCTCGCGTGGTGTGCTGTAAGATGATACAGCATTACAGAAGTCCCAGACCTATTCAGTGATCTCTTATTGCTCATCGGATTAGATCAAGAAGGAATTGGGAGAAAGGGTCGGAATGGTCGCGGCTATAGAAGGGAAGGGTCACCAAAGACCAAAGGTCGTGGGTTTTTAGTTAGTGCGTTAGTGCAAGCGGACGCGAAGTTTCGTTATCAGCAAGGAGGCAAGAAAGTGCGTACGCTGCGAACTAGGCTAAGAGCTTCTCCTTGAAGCTCTCTCCATTCCCCTCTCGGTAAGACGATCAAGAATAAACAACTGAAGCTTTATTGCTACATTGGCGGAGCCCTCCTGTGCGGACTCCGTAACCACGTCTTCACCCGATTCGCGTTCCGCTCTAGGAACGACTCAGGCTCCTGTGCGCCTGTGTTAGAATCAGACCTGACTAAGAAAGGACAACCTTGTCATAGAGGTTTTCCGACAATATTATGGCATTAACCTAAAAATAATATAGAAGTTAACGCATAAGAAATTTCTATCCCAGTTTCATAACAGTACCCCTGATTTTCTGCCGAAGCATCTCCGAATTTTGTAATTAAAAACTGCTGACGCAGAAAGACTTCATGGTGGCTCTCCCCGTAATTTCTTTATTGTCCTAACAAATTAGTTATCCACCTGTTGAAAAAAAGGTAACTCAGTAGGTTAGCTGTCACAGCCCACTGCGGATGCATGAAATGGTATCACAGAACGCGATTTCCTTCTATGTCGACGCATTAGAGAGAATTCAATTCATTATAGTATTCATGCTGTCCACAGAATCAGAAAGATATAAATATCTTTCTGATTCTGTGGACTTATATCTAAAGTCAGCCACTGTTGAGAATCAAGTAATGGTGATGGGAAGTCGTTTAAGAACCAAGCATTTGTTTTTTTGCATTTTTACATGCAGACTTCATCAGGTTCTACACCACACTACACTGCAACAGTACATTTAAACTACTCACGCCACAAATTTGTTGGGATATAAAATGTGAACCAACATGAGTTTGTACAAGAAGCAAGAGATTAGCATTTATATTACGGGGGTAGCTTTCAGTACTTAAAGCACTATAATTTCTAGTTGCCTCACAAAGTTCGTTTAACCTGCGAACATCATTCAAGTTGGTTGTTCCCTTCTTGCTGCAACAAGAAATAAAAAGGTACATGAGGAAATTGAATTGAACAGGGCTGACTTGAGCCAGTATTTGGCCACGCTCTCCTTTTTGACATGCAGGAAACTATTTTGATACATGGAGAAACTTTCTTTCTCTAAAAGAGTATATTAGATGGACTTTTAGTAGCAAGATTATAAAAAAGATGCGTTGTGTTTCATGTGCATGCGGGTTGCGTCATTCGCAATACTTGACGTGCAGTACTTACAGGAGAAAAACGTCTAGTGAGATGGCTGAATCTTGACACGACATGTCCTACAACCAAGTACAATGTACAGTGCGCGAAACTGCAATAAATACACACATCGACCACCACGTAAACAACACCTCCGATTGCCCTTTTAAAGCATCGCCCCACGTACAGTACCAGGACATCAAGGAATAAACATTTGTAGAGCCCGCCAGTTGTACGTCGACACGGTTTTGGAGTTAGCTCCGCAAAGTCGCGCGAAACTGGCATACATACGCGAAATACCATAAAGCACAGTACCTTTAGGGCGCCAAAACAGGACCGTAAAGCGCTATATCAGCCTCAAAACATCCCAACGTAAACTGCAACTGCTCCATTACAATATCAATACAACTCAACTATCCAGAACAAAGAATAAATGCCTCGAGGCCCCGCAATAACCGATCTTGAGCGTGGCCAGATCTTGGCTCTCCACAAGGAATGCATTTCATTCAGGAGCATTGCAGAAGCTGTCAATCGCTCCGTAGGAGCCGTACAGAGTGTGGTTAGGCTGGGGTTTCAACACAAACATCCTAAACACTGGAAAGGAAATCAGAAGATCTCAGAGACGCAGAAGAGGGCTATAATTAGGATGGCTTTAAAAGGAGAGGAAAGCGCAAGAGGTATTCAGGCTGAGCTCAAACTGCCGATTGGGCACAGAAGCGTCCAACAAATACTGAGCGCTGTGCCCTATCTCAAGTATAGAAAAATGATCACGGCAGCACAGATGACCCCTCAGCATAAAGAGAATAGGGTCCAGTGGTGCCGTAGATTCATAAGCAAGGGTGAAGCGTTTTGGAATAATGTGGTCTTTAGCGATGAGAAAAAGTTCAATGGTGATGGTCCTGATGGTTTTGCCTCGTACTAGCATGATCTCCGCACCAAAGAGCGAATTTTTTCTAAGCGACAGAATGGGGGATTTTCGGTTATGGTGTGGGGTGCCATTAGTTTATATGGTGTTTCTCCTATTGTTTTTATGGATGGAAGACAGGATTCTACTAAGTATGTTGATGTTTTGCGCCACGGTTTACTGCCATTTAGCTCAGAGGTATTTGGGGAAGGGCAGGGTTGGGTGTTCCAGAAGGACAATGCCCCGATTCATACTTCAAATTTGCAAGAACTTGGCTCTCTGGCCATTCTATAAGGACTCTACCGTGGCCTCCTAAGTCCCCAGACATGAATATTATCGAGAATGTCTGGGGAGTCATGGCTAGAATGGTGTACGCAAGAGGCAGACATTATCAGAATGTTAGAGAGTTGAAGGATGCCATTGAAGAGGCTTGGTCTACAGTGGGGTCGGACCTTCTTTTAAAGCTGTACAAGAGCCTACCCCGTCGTATGCATGCTGTCATGGATGCGCGGGGTGGTGCAACAAAGTATTAAATGCTCCTTTATGTTTTGTGTCATATCATATTTCGCGTATTTATAACAATTGCGCTCGGGGTTTTAAAGATATCTCGACAGTGGTGCGCTGTATCTATATTCTTGATTGATATGCGTTATTATTGGCGCGTGTCAGACCCGCATTCGTAGCTGTTTGTGGACGGACTGGTCACGAAGTGTCAGATTGATCCTTGTCGATGGGTGTATTTATTACAGTTTCGCGCACTGTACATTACTTTTGCTCAACGAGGTGGTGAATATATGAATTCGGGGAATTCGTTGGGCGTATCATGCCACAATGAGGCGTTGAAGACTTGCCTTTACTTTGTAAGAGAGACACGAAGTTATACCCGGCAGAAGACTCCAAAAAACCGTGACGCAAAGCGTGCATGAGGAATATTAAGACATCGCTGGTTGGATATTTATATGAGACACGAAAGTCAATTCAGACAGCAAAGCAAACTGGACGTGGAGAAAGACGTTGTTCTACTTGCTAGAGAGCGATATAGAAGATATAGAAATGCCCCAAAAGCTGGCTCCGTACTGTACATCCGGGCTATTGTAACGCAGCCCTGTCATCAAGCTATCGATCTTGTGACCAATTGGGCTGTTCGGGTTTTAAAAACACCTGAAATATTTTTGAGAAGTAAAGGGCTCGGAATTTGGCGGGAAAGGGCTCATTCTGAGTATGACTTCCTGGACATTGTGCCGCCCACCCACACATGCTGCAGCTGCCACGGTCCGTTGCCTCGGCATCCCCGACTTACTCTGTTCAGTGCCGTCATCGACGCAAGTCCGGGATCATATATCCTTACCACAGCAAGTCAGCAGCGGCGCTGAATAACAGCTGAGACTCAATCATGGAAAACGCCGCCTCCGATGAGCGACTTGTCAACGAAGAGTACAAGATCTGGAAGAAGAACACTCCGTTCTTGTACGATTTGGTTGTGACCAAGGCTCTGGAATGGCCATCGCTCACGTGCCAATGGCTTCCGGTAAGATTAATTCCACGTGCAATTGTAACAAGCAATTGTAACAAGCAATTGTAACAAACAGGAATGCCTTTCTTGTACTAACAGCTTCCATTTGTTCCCGACCTGCATCGTTTTCACAGTACAAGCGAGAGAAGACTGCAGGCGATTATTCTGTCGAGAAACTTATTCTTGGAACGCACACATCTGATGGAGAGCAGAATCATCTGATGATTGCCGAGGCTCGTATTCCCAACGATAACGCTGAGGTGGATGGAACAAAATATCAAGATCGCGAGGGAGGTAAGCTCAGACAGTATCTCATTCAAAATGCGCTGCCCCCTTCACTATCGCGTTGAGGCCAGGAGTTGCAGGAAACTAAAAATCTCCATCTTCTTCTACACTCCATATGTTCATCTAAGCAGACGATCAGGGAGGGTACAAAACGGGACAATACGGCAAGATTGAGGTTATCCAAAAGATCAATCACGATGGTGAAGTGAACCGCGCACGCTATATGCCTCAAAACCCTTTTATCATCGCGACAAAAACAATTGTACGTTACCTAATTCGATCTCTTCGCTGCAGTGTGCGAAATTTCTCGCTTTTCACTGACCCACAAATCGCTTTCCCATTCATTCCGCCGTACTCGTGTGCAGCAATCAGATTTGTTTATATTCGACACGTCTAGGCATCATTTCAAACCACCAGCTGACGGTAAGTGCACACCGCAGCTGCGGCTTCGTGGACATAAGAAGGAAGGTTATGGTGTATCATGGAGTCCTCGGGAACAAGGGAAGCTGATATCTGGTGCCGAGGACAAACTGATCTGCCACTGGGATATTCAGTCTCCAAGCATAAAAGGGGGCGGATCACTAGATCCGACCTGCATCTACGAAGGGCATACAGATGTCGTGGAAGATGTCGCATGGCACGTCTTCCATAGCAATATTTTCTCGTCCGTTGGCGATGATCGCAAGCTGCTTATTTGGGATACGCGGGAAAAGGATCGCAAAAAGCCTCTCCACAAAATCGACGCCCACAAAGGCGAGATTAACTGTGTCAGCTTCAATCCGTTTTCAGAATTCGTGCTTGCGACCGGGTCAGCTGACCGAACCGTTGCACTGTGGGATATGAGGAATCTGTCACTGAAGGTGCACTCTTTCGAAAACCATGCGGATGAAATTCTGCAGGTCGAGTGGAGTCCTTTCAGTGAGGCCATCTTAGCATCTGGTAGCGCTGATCGCCGTATCAACATGTGGAATCTGGCGAAGATTGGTGAGGAACAGGATCCCGAGGACGCCGAAGATGGTCCTCCTGAGCTGTTGTTTATTCATGGGGGGCACACGAATAAGGTGTCTGACTTCTCATGGAACATGAACGAACCGTGGGTGGTTGCGTCTGTAGCTGAGGACAACATACTCCAGATCTGGTCGATGGCAGAACATATCTATGAAGAGGACGATGGAGAGGAAAAGAAGGACAAGATGGACACGGACAAGCCAATGACAGACGTGGAAAAGAAGCTTCATGACCAGGAAAAGCCCGTTGCTGATGAAGATCTTGAATAAATACGGCAATATGAAAGCTCTGCACCGCAGCTATCATTAGCAAGATGCTTGTCATGTTGCTTCAGGGTCACTCCGACAGAAGCCGGCGAGCGTCGTCACCAACTACCCTTTTTCATTCGCTTTGAAAGGGGCCCACATCTTCGGAAGTCGCCCGGGCGCTTAGTCCCGCATGTTGTTTACTGCGGCGGCGAGGAACTGAAATCTGAATGATGTGTGACACCATGGAGCGCATGTCTCATGTTCCATTACCCTCAACCTTCTTCTGCATTGAATTCTTGCAGCTGGATGCGAAAGCATAGACTAATTTCTTCGGCACGTCTGCGGCAGAAGCAATGCCCCTTGCGACGGCACTCGCCGGGACGCCTTCTTCGACGAGAGCCTTGGCCAATGCCGCAATGTCAACCTCTGCCTTAGAGTATGCATTCAAATCGTCGCGACTTGCCTCAGGCCTTTGCAAAGGTCCGAGCACAATTGTAAATTCACCGCGTGGTTCTACGTCGTTTCCCTCAAACCATTCGTAAGCTTCTGCAGGACTTGAGAACCTCATAAACTGCTCCCACTTCTTGGTCACTTCCCGAGCAAGACAGACATGCCTTCCTACAAACGCTGGCCCGCGCAGCGCGTCCAACGTAACCAGCAATCGATGAGGTGCCTCATAAACCACAACAGTACCCTCAAGCGCAGCAATCTTCTCCATGGCCTTTCTTCTCTCCACCCCTGCCCTCGGTAAGAACCCCAGAAACGTGAACTCTCCCAACGGCAAAGCACTGGCAACCAATGCGGCAAGCGCAGCACAAGCGCCTGGCACCGGGACGACAGGCATGCCCGCTTCCACGGCGGCCTTGACCAGCTGGGCGCCTGGATCTGACACGCACGGCGTGCCTGCATCGGAAACTAGAGCGACTGAATCGCCTGCCGATAAACGAGTCAGCAAGTCCGGGATTCGGGAGCGCACGTTGTGCTCGTGGCAGGAGAGCAAGCGCTGGTGCTGCGGACGCGGGCCAACGGCGGCGGAGAGGAGTAGACCCGTCCGGCGAGTGTCTTCGGCGGCGATGACGGAGGCAGTGTGCAGGATGGCGGCGGCGCGGTATGTTAGGTCGGCGACGTTGCCGATGGGGGTGGACACAACGTAGAGATGACCGGCTTGGGCGGGGGCATTGGGGAAAGGGGGTGCGGTGGGGGCGTGCGTTTCGGATTTGGCGGTGCAAAGGAGTCGGGAGGCGCCATTGGAGGAGCGTTGGATGAGGGAGGTAGGGAGGCGAGGGAGGATGAAGGTAGGGCAAGGCATAACGATAGTTCCGCGTCAGAGGAGGAGGTGGATTAGAGAAGAGGGGGAGGGCAAGGCCAGTGTAGATCTGCGAATGGGGTATTTAGAAACAACCAATTGTAAAGTGAGGCCCGCAAAAGAGACAGTGGCTGAATTCCGCCCCGACAAGCATCCCGGTAGCGCGATCGGTCTCTTTGATTTTCGTGTTTGACAGTCAAAGGGGAGGCGACGGCGACTATACGGGGTTGAGGTATTTCTACGAGTGGAGGGTCGAGGCGGACAGACACAGACATCCGGTCTTTGGAACGACAGAAACGGACGCGACCCATCTCGGAATAGCAACTATGCCGTCACCGTCAGAGACAACCGAACTCGTATCGGAAACGACAAACACCGCGACCACCGCTATCGCCACGGACACGAGCGCACCGGCGCCAGAAACAGAAAAAGATGGGCTTCCGGACTGGTTGAAGCCTGGCGTAAGTACTGGGATTCACATGTAAGTCTCTTACGCACCAAGCGGAGATTGTTTCACCGAAGCGATTTTGATACATGGCGCTAACTTTAGGGACACTTTTATTGCTGCTGCTGGGGTTGGAATAAAGGGGTGTGCGTTTGGTGCTTCTCGTACTGAACACGTTTCTTGGGTGTTGCGCGCTCATGCAACTCGTGGTACCGCACTTTGCGGTTCTGTTTGTTTTGTCGCTTGGGTTGACAGCGAGTTACTTTTGGTGGGTTTTCCTGCTGTTTTTGGCTGCAGATTGAAATGCAGGTTGTAGAGACAGGATACTAACTGGGATGATGATGCGAACTTTTTCGTGTGAATGTGTAGGTTTGTGTATGAGCTCGGGAAAATTCCCGAGGTGGCTGCTTCGGAGGGTGGAACACAAGCAGGGTCGGGGGGCGCTGGTGAGAAAAAAGAAAAGTCGTCAAAGGACAAAGAGGAAGTGAAAAAGGACTTGTGACCTACTGAGAGAGTCGTCAGCATTTTGCGCTGTTGTTGCACCGGAGGTAATGGAGGAGGATAGAGGAGGTTGGTAAATAAACTGTTGCAACCAGGAGCTTAGATGGCAAAAGACTTATGTTTTCCCCTTGCGAGATGGGGCTTTGACAAGAATAAAGACCAGGCAGCAACGCTGAATTCTTTTAGGGATTTCCACAAGGAGAGCCAACAACTCCAAAAAAATCAGAACCAAAAATCCAAAAGAGAAAGGACAGGGTCCGGCGTGAGTCGAACACGCGACCTATCGATCTGCAGTCGATTGCTCTACAATGTGCAAACCACTGAGCTACGAACCCGTTGTCAGGTTTCCGACCTGCATTGTATTTAAATGCTGAATAAAGAGAAGTACTTTTACACGTGTGTACGTGGAATACATGGTATGCTTGTAATACAGGATATGCATGACACACGTGTGTGCAGTAAAGACAAGTTGCAACGTTTATGATACGCATGATGATTGGGCACCAGCACGATTTCGGCCGTTTGATCCCACTTTGATCCTATCATTTGGCATCACGGCAGTAGCGGCTTGCAGCTGGACTCACCTTTCATCGTGACGGCGAGGGATCCCAATCTCCACAGTCGCGTCTAGTTTCTCTTCCGTGAGAGCGAATGAATTCACAGCAAGGTTGCACTGGCAACAAGCGTCAAAGAAATTCTCAATCTGAAGATGATGGACCATCATCCAAGAGGGCCAATGTGAATACAGAGCAAGACGCCAATGTGAATACAGAGCAAGACGAACATCACACCTCCCTTGCAAAGGGAGAACCCCAATATCGCAGTGATTCTGCTTCCGCGTCACTGGGGAGCAATGAAGTTCTTCTTTCGAAATGGAGCGGAAGCAATGACGAAGACGAGGATTCCAGACCGTTCGTTCCGACTGAGTACGTTAAGGAGGAGCTCAAGAGCGAGCTCGAAGAATTGAACGAGGCATCCGAAATCACTGAAATGCACATTCAGGATGTAGAGGAGAAAGAGGTCGGGTCCGGTAGAGACAGCGACAATGATGAGCCAGACGACAAGGATGACGCTGAAGAAAATGGCGAACTGCAAAAGTGGGTGGGGCTTTTTAATATAGCCCCAGCTACCTTTCGCACCCTCCCATTCACTCGAGCAGAAGAAATCGAAATTAACCCCCCCACTGAAGAGGAGATTGCGGAGAAGAAGAAGTGGCTTCCCTCCAAGAAGAAATGCGCTTTCTACAACCCACGTTTATGGCTTGAAGGCGCCCAGATCCCGGAGCTATTCAAGATAGCGAACAAAGAGGCAGTCTACCGCGGGAATGTCAAATGCTTTGAGACCGAAGTAACCCTCAATCGCGATGACGATTGCGGCATTGGCTCCATTTGGAAGGATATGATACTCCCAGAGTACGTACCAGGTAAGCAAAAGCCGGTTGGTTCTCCGGCGACTGATAGAACGGATTTTCTGAAAGGGTGCATGCGTTTGGGTTCGATGATGGACCCGAAGAAAATGTCAGTTCTTCTCGGAGGGAAGCATCGCACAGAAGATTTTTGTCGTTTTGCGATGGCGGGCATGTTGGGTATCCTAAATAATTGCGAGACTCGGGCGAAGATTCGAGACGCGCGTTCGATTAGGGCAGGGTATCGACATGCAGATGTGTCTGTACACGCTGACGAGATGTATGAAGTCAATGACGAGCTTGTCATGAGCGCTGAGGTTCTGGAGGAAAAACTTGAACGAGCGAAACTTCAAGCGCCAAGTATCGAATCGGAAGGTGCTATTACCGAAGTCGGAGACATTGCCTTGGAAGATGATGCGTATGCAGATACAGATGAACCCAGTAGACCGTTTGAGGAGCTTCAATCTTCACCTGTATCGGAGGTAGCATTTGAAAAGGCGCTGTCCTATGTACATCGCAATTACTTCGCAAACATAATGGGGACAACCCCAGAGAACATCTCTCTGGAGTCGTACCTAAAGTGGGCTGTAGAGCTCGGTATAACGTTTGAAAGTGACGCTTTGTCCAAATTAGCACCAGGCGCCCAGGGAGACGTACAACCGATCATTGGAAGCTCTTTGAAACAGGCAGAAGATCGCCGCAAGTGGCGCACCGAACCAATGCCTGCTCCAGAACTAGCTCTCGGTGCTTCTGTGCGACATGGCACAGCCGAGCAGTGGAGGCACGCCAGCAAGAGGTTTTCCTCGAAGCACATGACCCGCCTGTCTCTTCTTCAGCCAGGCAGTGTCTTAGATTGGATGACATATGTGACTGCAACCAGCAGTGTTGCCGACAATGAAGTTGCTTTCCTGCAGGAGAACAACCCTGTGGTGTCTATCGCCCCTATTCCGCTACTCTATCTAGCCGACTTGATGTCTGACTTCGCACTTAAAGTTCTGAGTGTTGCAGCATCAATAGCCATCGAAGAGCAGAGAGATTCCAGCGACGTTAATGTTCCGGAAATATCTCGCGATGAAATTGCAGCAGCTGCAGTTATAATTACCGAGAAATTCTTCAAGAACAAGAGGGGCTGTTACGTTTTTACAGAGCTTTCTATTGATGAGACGGGACTTGCTATACCTCCTCCATGGCCTATGCTTGTCAAACGACCCATGACAGTGTCTGAGGAAGTTGTGTTGTGTTCTGAAGTCCCGATAAATTCCTTCCGTGTCCCGCTCAACGCCACGAACGAAGCGAGGAGTACTCTTGATTCGCTCAGAAAAATATCTCGTCACTTTTTATACGCTGGGTGCAAGAGGTTTGGAAACATAGATCCCTTTGGACAAAGAAAACGAAATCACCCGCAAGTAGGCCACGGAAAGAGGGATCCGAATGTAGCTGTTGTGCAGAAAGGCGAACCTGTGCTTCATGGTCAGTCCGAAAGCGTTCAAGGTGCTACTTGCAAACCTGTGACATCGAACTTAACACATGATCGTTCTACTGCTGAACCTTCAAATATATCCCTGAAATTTTCATCGAGCGGAGCTCATAGCCCAAAAACCGAAGCACTTGCAATCGAAATGAATAAGAGAGAGGAATGTATATTCGATCTATCTGGACAAGACTTCGATCCGACGGAAAACACAGCAAATTTTCTGGTGAAAAACATCGGTCGTGGAGTATGGTCTAATCGGTTGAAATCTCGTTTAGAAACGCCGCGAGAGGATAGGCAGGCTGCAAAAGCTCTGCAAGGCAAACCTCTGCTAGAGGTGTTGAAGCGAATCAAGACCTTCAGGCATTTACCAAGCTCGACCGTTTCGTTGCATCGACTAGCATGGATTTGTCTGCATGCACTAGGGCAAGATACTGGAGAAGAAGACGGGAAATTGATGAGTTTCGGGAGTAGAGCTAATTACACTAATTTTGGAGAGTTTGGTACGCCTGAAAAAGTAACGCTGAGTCTACAGGGTCTCAGCACTTTGGCCGGATTTGCTGATCAGATAGTCAGGGAAGAAGCTGAAATTCTTATGGCATGTGCAGCTCATGATGATGGGCGGCCGTGGATTGATAGGGCTGACGTTATCGTGATAAGTAGTGTTCGCAAAGAGCCCTATCTTTATGCCGGCCTTGAGGGACCGTCTACGCTCACATGACGCATTTGAGAGTACATTTTGTACAATTTGAAGCAGTGCAGTAAAGCAGTACCGTACTAAACTGGTTCGTGAAGGCCAACCACAAAGCATTAAATTAGGTTCCGGGAAGCTTGTCAAAGAGAGAAGACCCATCCAAGGGTTTGAAAGTGTCATGATTCAAGTCGCTGAAGTATGGATGTTGCAGTGCCCCAGCGGCATTAATTCTCTTGGTGGGGTCGTAGATAAGCATTTTTGAAAGGAGATCCAACCCCTGACTATCGAGGTTTTTAACTGTCTCTCCAATGTGTCGTTTGTGCCAGTTGGGAAACCTGGTAGAGTAGTCTGGCAGCTCGCTGACGTTCTCCCACATCTCTTCAGTTGGGGTTCCAAGTGCAAAGAAGATCTTGTGCAACTGATCAATCTCGGAATCGCCTGGGAACAATGGTGCTCTCATAACCATTTCTGCAAAGATGCAACCGATCGACCAAATATCAACAGGAGTTGAATATTTCCTAGCGCCGAGCAGGATTTCCGGGGCTCTGTACCAGAGCGTTACGACTTCGTGTGTGTAATGGCGAACGGGGATACCGAATGCCCTGGCTAGGCCAAAGTCAGCGAGTTTGAGCATACCGGTGCGGTCAATGAGTAGATTTTGTGGCTTGAGATCACGATGCAAGACGCGGCGGGAGTGACAATAGGCAATGCCGTTGATCAACTGGTACAAGTAGGACTTGACCAGAGCGGGGCGCAGAGCACTGACCGAATCCATAAAACGCTTGAGGTCCTGGTCGAGGTACTCAAAGACGAGATAGAGTTTCTTATCGGCGTGCACGACGTCTTTGAACAAAACGACGTTTGGGTGGGTGAGCTCCTTTAGAATGGAAATCTCACGGATGGCGGTTGAGGGAACACCTATGGACGCAAAGCATAAGACAATCAAAGCATGCAATGAATTCATCGTTTGTGTCAGGCAACGCAAAACTTTTCGTGCTGCACTCGGGCGCGGTCAGAAACAAACCTTCATCTTCCTGTTCCAGACGAATCTTCTTGAGAGCGATCATTTGGCCTGTGGCAATCTCTCTTGCCTTGTAAACGACGCCATAGGTGCCCTCTCCAATTTTACCTAACTTCTCATAGCGTTCCATGGTGGGGATTGGTCCGCTGGTGAAGAGCTGGCCTGGACGTCGTCTACCTAGTTAAGGCTTGCGACGAGACTTGGAAGAAAGCGCTAGGGCGGGGGAGCAGAGTGTGCGGTCGCGGTGAGGGTGGGCAAGTAATGGCCGATGGGAGGCGAGAAAAGTAAGAGAAGACGTGACAAGAGAAGACGAAGAGCGGGATGTGTCATGGCGGCGTGCGGACGAGACTTATACATAACTGTATAATGTTGAAATATATTCAGAATATAGAGCTTTTGATATGTTCTACAGTAGACAGGGCAAAGCAGATTGCCGTGTGATTTTTGTGTTTACTCCGATTTCGTAGCTAATCGACGCATGAGCAGGCAGGCATGCATGGAGGGCGAAATAACCATGCGTCGCTGCATCCGGGGGCCTCTGAACCTGTCAAATAGAATGCTTGCCTGAGGCCCCTGCGTGGGATACCAAGCAAACTGCACTTTTCGCCGGCTTTGTTCGTCCTTCGTTTTCGTAGACGGGTATGCGCGCTGCCGAAATGTTGCCTCAATATAGCCTTAACAAAGTATTACAACAGTCTCAGCTCTCTGCCTATTAAACACTGCAATCGTACCTATAAACATTTCGGGAACCCGCGAACAGGGAGGTATTCGTCATCGATATGTATGTGTCGCATTTAGTCGATCAATAGCTTTCATTTATGTCAAAAGTTGGAGTGCTACAGAGTTCTCCTAAAGCCATTTATATTTTCGGCAGACGGCACTTTGAGTGTGTTTAGAGACGAGAATAATATTCCAAAGGAGTAATGGACCGCTTGGTTTAAGTACAAGCACATAAAAAGAGACGTCTAAGCTTCGGTGTTAAAAATTGTTGCTTCTTTCTCATCCCGTGTGAGTGTTGAAGGCTTTTTAATTGCTCTACTCTTGTCAGCTGTCGTACAGCACCAATTCTTAGAAGTTCAGGTGATGTTTAACAAATGTTAGCGCTTTTGCTTAAGACTTCTACGATGGGGCTTCGGAAAAAGCACAAAAGAAAACGCATGGAATGAATGATTATGTTTGATAGCCCCATATCTACAGAATAAAACGCAACAGGAGCATCCACTTTGAAAGACCATCACGGCGCCGGCTTTCTGCTATTTACACCACACATGCCGAAACCTAGGATAGTTGATCTCAGTTAGATTTCTTGGCAGGGATGACTGTGCTCATTAATCCACACTCCCGGATCATCTAGGAACAGTGATAAAGAATGTACTGAACACCATCGTACAGGACATTTCGGTGTTTGTGTAGATAGCATGACATCCATACGTCAGCCTCTATGAGTATAATCTCATGGGGCACAGGTCCAGGTTGTCTCGTTCGGTTTACCATACCAAGAGCGGTTGACAAGTCTGTGGAAGTTCCTCAGTAGAGCAATTGGCACCAGTGCCAATGCTTTGTCAACCAGTGCCAATGCTTTGTCAACCAGTGCCAATGCTTTGTGAACCAGTGCCAATGCTTTGTCATCGGTGGCTTTTGAGTAATCTCCATGTCTACTGACGAGCCAATAAAAATGCATAAGTTTTTAGTCGCCCACTTAGAATGTACCACGTGAATATCATGGGCATCATAAAATTGTCTGATTTCAGGATTCTTTCATGCACCAGAGGCCAGACCAGCGATGCAATTCCACCTCAATAGCTCTCACCCTCTGCAGCTCTTGACTCAATCTTTACTTAAACCAGAGACGGGGACCGCCCACTACTGCCCGTAACTCTCCATCGACAACAGTCTGCCCTTTCGGATACAGACTCCGCGATGAATTGGCGCAACTTGTCTACGGCGGTCCGCGCAGTGCGCAATTCTACTTCGATTCCATTGTTCTCTACGCGTACCCCTCCGAAGGTCCCCGAAGCTGGGATGTCTTTGCCGCCACTTCTCATGGTGCACGGCGTTCTGGCGTCTGCTGCCACCTATCGCTCGATCATGAAGCGTCCAGATTTCGGTACGTACAGAATTGTCTGGAATTCACAATTCACCCATGCGGTATCCAAGGAGCTCAGTATAGGAGGCTGACGTTGTGCCATCTCTTTGCTTCTAATTTACGTTTCTGCCGCGCATTCACCTTCAATCCCATCCGGTACTGAATCAACCGACACAGTTCCTAATCGCGAGATTATTGGAATTGACCTGAGAAACCATGGGCAGTCTCCGCATCTCCATCCGTCAGACGGAATGCGATATGAGGATATGGCATCCGATATCTCTGCCTTTTTGGACAGCGAGGGGATTGAAAAAGCTTGCGTAGTAGGGCATAGCATGGGAGGAAAAGTCGCCATGCATTTGGCCCTGACCGAGCCGGAGAAGGTATCTGAGCTAGTTGTCGTGGATATCGCTCCGATAAGCTACATGATTGGGAAGGACTCTGGCGACCCTTACGTAGCGACTCGAGCGATGCGCGCTGTCAAACTTGAACAAATGCAAACTCGTGCGGACGTCGATGCTGCTCTTCAGGAAAACGGAGTCAAGTCGGAGGCAGTTCGCCAGTTTGCAATGACTAACCTTATCACTTCGCAAGATCCCAACTGTAAGTATCAGTGGAAGCTTAATCTAGCTGCTATTGAGGAGGCTTTCCCGAGCATCATGGATTTCCCGGACCAAGACGGCCGTTCGTATTCAGGACCGACGTGCTTGATTCGCGGCGGGAAGAGCAAATATGTGCCCTTCCAGTCAATGCGAGTTTTCACTTCTCTATTCCCGAATTCCAAACTGGTGACGATCTCAGATGCCGGTCACTGGTTGCAAGCACAGGCTCCAGATGACTTTTGCAAATCAGTCAATGATTTTCTGGTCAAGTGAGCGGTTATCGAGCTTCTTGTCTAGATCAGGTCAACTTTTGTCCGCCCAAAATTTTCTGGGCGTAACTGCTTCTGCTTCTGGATCAAAGGGTTCTATCGCAGATGCTGCGACATCGGTCGTGGTGTAGAGACCAGGATAGGGCCAGTATTACCCTGGTCTTAACTGCCACTCTTCAATGAAGACAGCAAATTATTGCCGCCTTCCTAATTGTGTTATCAGGATTCTCCACCTTCGTCCTCGAAGTACCACATGTCCTGAGATCTTCTGCCCTGGAACGTTGCTTGGAAGATTTGGACGTCGTTTTGCATAGGAAAGGCTTTCAGAAAGTTAGGCATCGTTGGACGTCCAAGGCAGAAGAACGAGGTTCCACTACCGCTCATCAGCACAACCTGTAACGTAAATTATGTATGCGGACGAAGAAGACAAACTTAGACTGGTCAGCAAATTTTTTGGACATGGGGGCGCATTTGACATGAGAGACACAAATAACGCACCTTGAAACCTGCGTCTTTCAGCTTCTCTTTCAGTTCTGCTAGACGTGGAAGGAGCTTAAAACTGGGCACTTCTAAGTCATTGACATATTCTGCGGAAATGACCCCCGCACGCATTTTGTCTAAAAGTTGACGCGGATCTCGATCGGAGCAATCCTCCATCTTTAGAGTTTTAAAAACTTCAGCCGTCGACAAACCTTCGTTGGGCTTGATAATAAACAAGCTCTCTTGCGGGAGTGGTTGCACGTCCTCAAGAACCTCCCCTCTGCCAGTACAGTACGCCGTTCCACTGGAGAGAAAGAACGAGACGTCGGAGCCGAACTCGGCGCCAAACTCAGCCAATTGCTTATTCGTGCACGGCTTGTCTGCGAGGACATTTGCAGCCCACAGGGCCGTGGCAGCGTTGGCCGAGCCCCCGCCGAGACCGGCCTGAAATGGAACCCTTTTCTCGAGTCTGACGTGAAAGTATTGCTCCACGCCTGTGCGCTCGCGGAACTTGGCTAGCGCTTTGAGGACGAGGTTGGAATCGTTTGTCGGCACGCCTTGCTTATCGCATTCAAGCGTGTCCTGATCAGGAGCGGAACCGTGCGGCGACTTTTTGGAGAAGTGGATGGTGTCGCGAAGGCTTATTGACTGGAAGAGAGAGGCGAGCTCGTGAAAGCCTGTGGAGATAACACCAAATGGCGACACGCGTTAGTATTCGGTTCGGTTGCGGACTTAAATGGTGAGACGGGTTTTGGCAACGCACCATCCGGACGCTCCCCCATTATACGAAGAAACAAGTTGATTTTGCAAGGGCTGCTGAGCGTGAGATCCCACTTTTGTGGGGTAATGGCAGAGGCAGAATCTGGCAGCGGCTTGGACGCCGTCATCTGAGGTGGTGACCGAGAGCATGTCGTGCGGCAGAGTGGCTCGCGCCTTGGCAAGGCTGCTGGTGAGGCGAAACAGGTCAGCCACATGTCGGGTGTTTCGAAGAAGAAGGAGAGTTATGAGTGGGACGGCTCGTCGAGTTGAAGAGCACGGCACAGCGCTGCAGACATGAAGAGTGTTGCTGTTTGTGACGTGGAGATCTGTTTCTCAAGGCGGTGGGTGTGGTGGAAAATTCAAAAAAATTGGTTTGAGCACATTGCACAGGAAGGATGAGCGAAACGAGGAGGGTCGTATACCGCTGCAGTTCAGGATACCGTAATGAGAAAGTTAGGTTTGGAAATACTATACAACTGCTCTCCTTCGACATGTGAGGCAACTAGTGGCAACAGCTCTGTCTCATTAAGCAGTCCTGTTACATCAACAAATACACCACGCTCCTACCAGTGTCCCCATCGTCACGATGAGCCCCCCTTGGCTTCTGATTTGTCCCCCTGACTCTCTCCCAATTCGCGATCGATAGCATCCCGTAAAAGCATTGCAATCTTCATACCGCCCAGCTCCGACGGCTCGACTCTCTCTACATAATCCCTAGTGTCCTTCCCATCCAAGGCCTCAAACAGCGGCACGTGAACAAGCTTTACACCCTCCACCCGCACGCTCTTCATCTGCTCAAAAACGGCCCTCATAACCTCCTGCATCCTCTGTGGCCTAGCGCCATACAGCAGCACGCCCAGCGTGAACGATGCCCAGCTCTGCTGCGGCGCCTCATCGGGAAAGTAGAGTCCGCACAGCACGACGAGCCTGGGCTTCCCCTTGCGCACCAGCGTCTCCACGTACGCGGTCATATCATGGACGAAGAGGCGGGTCAAGGCGCGCATGCCCAGCGCCGGGAAGAAGTAGATGGCGGCGAGTGCGGAAAGCACGAGCGGAAGCGTGGGGGCGAGGGCGATGTCGTTGCCGCCGACGGAGACCACGAGGACGTCATGGGGCGAGAGGTTGTCGGCGATGAAGCGGTCGTGCGGCAGCGGCTCGCGCAATCGGTGACGCAGGGTGGTGGCCTCGACGGCCGCGTTGAGCGTGAGGAAGGGGGCGGTGCGGAAGGGGAGGGTGTTCAGCCAGTACGCGATGTCGCGACACGCGAGGGGCGGGTCGAAGAGGGTGGTGATGGGCGGGGGCGGGGGGACGTGCGGAGGGGGCAGCCAGTATTTGTTGTCCAGCGTGCTGTCGCCGGCCAGGTAGATCTTGGGGGAGGGCGGCAGCGAGTGGAGCAGGGTGGCGAGATGCGGGAGCGGGTGGCCGTGGTACTGGGCGTAGAAGTCGGAAGTGGGGATGCGGGGGGCGGGGGAGGGGGCGGGAGAGGGGGCGGGGGAGGGGGCGGTGGCGGGGTTGGTGGACATGTGGGTTGGGATGACGGGGGATGGGAGGAAGGCGGATAGGGTGGGAGAGGGCATTGTCGTCTGAGGGGAAGGGGATGGGGGCTGGAGAGGAGGAGGGCTGGAGAGGAGGAGGGCTATGTGGGGCTGCCTGAATAAAGCCTGAACAGGGGGGACGGTGGCGTTGTGTGGGAACACGTGCATCTCTGTGGTTGGGTGTGGTCTGGCTGCGGACGGCGGAGGGTGCGGTGCGTTTGTTGTGTAATGCTGTAAGTATGTAGCCTCCTTCGCACTCGAGTGCATACTGTTTACAGTACCTTACGTACGGTGGCTGCGGCTGGCATGGTTGCTGTGAAAAAGACGCGTGTGGAAATACTTCCATTTAGCAACCTTCGTACAGTATGCACTTGAGTGTATGACTGTAAGGTGGCTGCGGCTGGCATGGCTGCGGCTGCAATAGAGAGAGGACGTGTCGAGCAGTACGTGCTGGCGCCACGTTGCCACGCTTCCATTCGTCCCGCGATGACATGCCTGGTCCTCATCGGCTGCATGTTTCTGTACATGCGTTCAAATTTGAACGCAAGCACAAACCGAAACCGCAGACTGCCCCGTCACAAGCCCCCATTCGGCAACACCCTGCCCTCCACGCGAGCATCACCATCCCTCCATTCCCGGCTCCCCCCATCATGTCCGACCCGCAAGTCGCCCTCTGGCTACGCCAATCCGGTCTCTCCCGCTTCGCCCCTCGCTTCGCCGCCGCCTCCATCACCACCTCGGCCTTCCTCGCCCTCTCCGCGGCAGACCTCGACGCGCTCGGCCTCGACTCCCCCGCCGACAGGAAGCGCCTGTTCGATCTCATCGACGACAACCGCCGCCCGCGCCACCCGTCCCCCTCGAAACGCATCAGCGCAACCCGCCGAAGGCTCTCCCTGCGGAGACTCTCGCGCTCCAACTCCAGCCCCGTCTCGTCGCCCGCGTCGCGCCCAGCCCCCGCCCCGCCACCGCCCGCGGACATGACCCGCCCCACCGACCCCCCCACCGCCGCCCACACCGCCGCCCCGTCCATGGCCCGCGTCACCGTCTGCGTACGCAAGCGCCCGCTCGGCAGGAAGGAGCTTGCGTGCGGCGACGGCGACGTCGTCACCGTCCACCCCGCCGACGACGCTCTCATCGTCCACGAGCTGCGCGCAAAGGTCGACCTTACCAAGTACGTCGACACTCACCCGTTTGTCTTCGACCGCGTCTTCCCGGAGACCGCGTCCAACCCCATCGTGTACCAACGCACTGCCCGCCCGCTGGTCGACGCGCTTTTCAAGGGCGGCCGCGCTACCTGCTTTGCGTACGGCCAGACGGGCGCGGGGAAGACTTTTACCATGGCGGGCGACTCGCCGGAGAACCCAGGCTTGTATACGCTGGCTGTGAGGGACGTTTTTGACCGCATTCGAATGGTCGAGAAGGAGCTATGGAGGAAGGCGGATATGGATGGCATCGAGGATTTCCATCCGCCCGAACCAGCGCAGGTGTGGATTAGCTTTTACGAGATTTACGCGTCGAAGCTCCAGGACCTGCTCAACCGCTCGGCGAAACTCGAGTGTCGTGAGGACTCGAATAGCGAAGTTCAGATTGTCGGCCTCACGGAAAGGCTGTGTGAGGTTGAAGAGGATGTGCTTGCTTACATTGATGAAGGCAGTGCGGCCCGCTCTACGGGCTCTACTAGCGCCAATGACGATTCGAGCAGGTCGCATGCTGTCTTCCAGATTCAACTCCGGCATCCGCCAGGGAATACGTCTTTGCAAAACCCCTCTAATATCGTCAAAGAGGCCTTGCTCAGAACTACCCGGTCGAGGTCGGCTGCTGCCGCCAAGCAGCAGAAAAGAGGCGCCGAGATCGGACGGCTTTGTTTTATTGATCTTGCTGGCAGTGAAAGGGGAAGCGACACTGCGAGCTCGACACGCCAAACAAGAATGGAGGGAGCAGAGATTAACAAAAGCTTGCTCGCTCTGAAAGAGTGCATTCGTGCGATGGACCAGAAGAAGGACCACACTCCTTTTCGAGGGAGCAAGTTGACCCAGGTCCTCAAGGCTTCCTTCATGGGAAAGAATTGCAGCACCGTCATGATCGCAAATATCTCTCCAGCATCTTCAAATGTCGAACACACGTTGAATACATTGCGTTATTCTGACCGAGTGAAGGAAATGAAAACGGACCGCGTCGCTAACAGTGCTCATACGCCCTCGATAGACCTCAGTTTTCTGACAAGGCCGGCTCTCAACGGACGAAGAGCTACGTTTAGCCACGCATTAGGCATGCGAACGGGAAGGAACCTACTAAACACTCCTCTTCGAACGACGCAGCAACAGGCAACTCCTGATGGCGAGCATCGAGACGACCGAGGTAGAGTCCGGGAGGCCCCGAAATCCAGTCGAAAAGGTCTCAACCCCCAGGCGGCGACACGAAAGTTCGACATGCTGCCAGAAAAGAGGGACACACATGCCTTTCCGCGGACAGGGTCCCGAAATGAGAGGAAGCCATTAGTCCGAACTAAGAGCAGAGGATCCGACAACATTTTCCAGAATCAGCTTAAGCCGCCGACAGTCACGGATCCATCGAACACCCAAGAGCCTCGCCCAACAAAACGAAAGACATCCAGGGCTCCTTCAATGATACCAACGCGTCCCTCCATGGGTGGGGCAGCTTTTCCGAAACCAAACGCATTTCAAACACCTGGGGACTCTAAAATAGCGAGGGCAACCAGCAGCGTAGGAAGGCTGCAAAGTGGGGAACGTGGATCAGCTTTTGGTGAGCGAGATAGGAAGGCTAGCACTGTGGCTCACAACAACAATCAGTTGAAACGAGCTCGACTTCTTGAAGATCGGCCCCATCCAAGGGCGTCTCGAATACCGACAAGAAGTGGCTCCTCTAGTACGCTTGATGACGTCAGTACCAGCGACAGCGAGGCAGTAGAAATAGACTTGTCGAACCAGTCTTTGAAATCCGAGGACTTCGAACCACGTCCTCGTCCCGCGAAGCGTCCCGATGACTTGCCGACCGCAAAGCAAAGCTTTCGGAAGGTAAACGCTGCTCAATCAGCAATGAAGCACTACAAGAGAACAGTTGATGAGTTGTCAGACGAAGATCTTCTTTTTGCAAGCTCCGACAGCATTGTAGATGAGTTAACCGCCGCTGCCCAACAGCGACTAGCTGCAGCATCGATTCAAACAGAAAAAGATCAGAAAAATCCGCGGCAAAAGCAAAATGGATCCAAGGGATCGGGGAGGCCAAGAGGAAGAGAAGCACCGTCCACACGGAAGCATAGGATGAATGGCGACGACATTTCCCCGCCTACGAGGCAAAAGATTTCGACGAGTAGCCGGGAAACCTCAAATGGAAGCGAGTTCCGGAAACCAGTGTCTCCTGACCTGCGAAAAGTTCTGCGCTTTCATCATGTGCAAATAGAAGAACTGATGCGTCTGACAGAATCAGATTTGGCGCTGGTGAATGCGGCCGAGAAGGGAGAAATGGACGCGGACGAGTACGCCCTGAAGCTGAAGCTTAACCTATCACAAAAGCTGGACGTTGTAACGTCTTTGCAATCCAAGCTGCAGCTCTTGGAATGAACAGACTACACTGGAACAGAAGCGACTGCAGATGTACAGAGATAGCACGAGTGATAGCTCCGTAGAGGCTAACACTGATGGGTGAAAGTTTTTGGTCTTACCGGCGCCAAGGCGACAGGCAGCAATACAGTCTGCTGCCTAACAATTTTTCCTTTCAATTTGCATTATCCCTCCAGAGGTTTTCGAAATGGGACCGAATACGGGCAACTGAGGAAGAGTTGGAGGAACACACAACGAGCAAACGGATAAAGCGAGAGAGAGGGTTACATGTTTGACCGGACGTGTGTAATTTAGAACTATTATCCATGGCATGTGAGAGACTAGACGGCAAGCCACGTCAACTTAGCATGCCACCCAGCATCCACGAGCGGAAACGAGGCTGTTGGTTTCTACTCTCCAAACAAGCTATCCAGTCTCTTCTTCATCGTCTCAATATCCTCATCCGAGAGGCCAACCGAGTCGGTCCCCTCACTCCCTCCATTCGGTTTCCCTCGCCACTTGTCCATATCATCAATCGCGCTCTCTTCCGGCGGCGAAATCAGCGACCCCGTTGGCACAAAACCCAGTCTAAATCCCGCGTCCCCACAAAAGTTTCTTAGATCCTCCGAATCCATCATACAAATCTGCGGCATAGGAAACTCTTGCACCTCCAGACACATAGCGTACCGCTGCGCCTCCTCTTTCTCCTCAAACGCGAGCACGATACTCTCCTCCCCGATCGACAGACTATAAACCCCCTCCGTACCATCGGCGGCGTTCGTAAAAACAATCACCCACAGCCCCTCCAGCTTCTCGAATGCGTTGACGAAGTCGAGATCGTCCGTGTCGGACAGCGCGTGTGCCGTCGTGTTGGACAGGTCGATGACGTCGTCCGACGGCGCCCACCCTGCGAGCCGCTTGCGGTCCACGTCCGACATGCGGCGGCGCAGCAGCTCCATGTCCAGCGGGTGCTCGCCGGGCTCGTTCGACGACGACGACGCCTGGTCGTCCGGTGGCAGCGAACGCGCTGACATGCGCGCGCGGCGCGCGCGCGGCGGCGCGGGCCGCGCAGGCCGCGCCGGCAGGCATGAAAAGCGCGCCCGCGGCGCGGCGCACGGCAGCGGCGAAGGGAGCGCGACGAAGGCAAGCGCGTGGACGCTGCACTCGCGAGGGCACGCGCAATCGCACAGGCAGACCGACATTGGAAATGGGGGAAGGGGAGAGAAGAGAATAGTGGCTTGAAAGAGGAGTGACGGTTGGCGGGGCCAAGCAACGGACGGATGGTTCAGGACATGCGAGGCGGAACGTCGATCTCGGCTTTGGCCTCACGCCTTCCCACATTGCGCTCGATCGGCCTTTGCCGCACATGCTGCACACCATCCACGTGTACAACAGAGATACGTGGTAACGTGTAATTACACGTGTACATGTGATACTACACGTGTACCACCCGACGTTGCTCCTCTCAACAACTCCTGTGGATCCATCCTTCTTCTCTGTCCCTTACTTCATTTTGGTGAGAAGTCATCTTCCTGTTCCTCCCTTCGAAAGAACATCCCGCACCCTCGCTCCCTTCCACCATGGTGACCAAAATCCAAATCGACGCCTCCATCTCCGCCAATATCCGCGCCCTCCCAGCGGGGGTTTTCCTGGGCACCCTCTCCCCGCCACGCATCGTACGGTACCACAAGACGCCGCCGATGCACCCGGACGTCACGCGCGCGACGTGGGCGGGGGCACACGCCGACCTGGTGCGCGCGATGTGCCCGGGCGGTTTGTCCATCGTGGCTCTCTTCTACCCCGAGCCGCTGCCGTCGTCCCTCCCGTCCGTGCCGGGCGCGCCCTTCATCGTCGGCCTGTCCAACAGCGGCCGCATCCAGGTCAAGCAGCTGCGCGAGCCGCAGCCGCGCTCGGCGGTCGTGCGCGACGTCGAAAACTTGAAGGCCGGCGTCGTGTGCGTGCGCGCCAGCGTCGAGTTTCCGACCATCCCCGTCCCGACGTTCGACCGCGGACAGGAAGAGCAGCTCTGCGCGGAGGCCCTGCAGGGGCTGCTGTGGAGCGCCGTTGTCGTACTGCGCGATCGCGACGGGAAGGAGGTCGTCGTTGTGGATAGGGCGGATAAAAGGCTTTTGGCGGCGGTGATGGGATGGGAGGCCGAAGACTTGTCGAAGGGAAAGTGTGCGTGGGAGGAAAAGGACGCCGTCCAAGCCGACATTTTGCTTCCAGTCGGCCGCGCTGTAGAGGAACAGAGGGAGAAGGGGGTGGGTCTGACAGTGGGTGGCGGTATGCATGTTGAGGCTGTTGTCATGCAGGACGCCACTTTAGGGGCGCTGCTCACAGCTGTGAGAGATGATATGGATCGGTCGTTGCGAGCGCGTGTGCAGTTGGTCGAAGAAGGGAAAGGGGATGAGGAAGGAGATACTGCCCCGGGAACTGGTATTCGCGCTATGCCGGTGAGGGTCGTTACTAGGAAAACCAGTAAGGGCAATGTGTTGCCGATGACTGACTATATGGAGGAAGGAGAGTCTTTGGATGAAGATGTTTTGATTCGATTTGTGGAGGTCCTTTCGTGGAATGATGACGAGATTGACGCTAATCAAGTGCAACAAGTAGAACAATTCCCCAGCTTCGACGCTTTGCAAAGGCAAAGTAACTCTGGCAAGCCCTCTGCGCTTGAGCTGTCTCAAAGTCAGGACCCAAACGCATCGGCATCTCCGTCGATGACTCTTGCACAAGGCGCCGTCATCGCCGCCTTTGTGATGGCCATTCTCGCAATCATTATCAAGGAATTGCTGTGAGATGGCACTTTAATTATTCGCCAATATCAAAACGAGTACTTGTACGCATATCATCCCAAAGCATCGTTAAGAATATGCGACGCCATGTCCTGAAGAGCACCGCAAAGGGTTTTAAAATCACCCACCCCGGCGCTTCCCCGATCGGCGACCTTGATGTACATCAAGAAGCAGTTCGATACGTCGGTTTTCGATACTTTTAACTGAAGAGATGTATCGGCAAACACGCAATCCTGGGGTCCGTGGAATTGCACGTCTGCCTGTTTTCGTTTAGCCCACTGAAGCTCGACGAAAACCGCTTCAAATACCCCCTCGACGTCGTTAACACAGAGCTGATTCGCGTATCTCCGTCCTGGCTGCACTGAGAAGACGCATCGCCATTTGGAGCTTTGCTCATCTACAAATCTGATAACAGATCTTTCCTGACCAAACGACCAGGCGACAGCCCATCGCGTTGTCCTCCCGCCTTGCGAGAGCTCAACGGTTTTTACGTATGGGGCTCGGATTCGAGAGGAGCGAAGGAAGGCAACAATTTTGGGTAGGTCCACCTTGCGGCCCACGAGACTTGTGAACCATTCTACGCTCGGTGCATGTATAGATTCGTTTGCCAAACGGCATAGAAAAGCAAACTCGCCACCGGTAGTGACAAGTTGACTACGTGACCCTGCTGGGGAGGCGGTCTCCGGAAGCTCGGCATGGAAGGGTGGATTACAGACAATCAGGGATGGTTTCAGAGAGACGACTTGTGAGGGCAACAACTTGTCATCCCGCGCAGTTGAAAAAACCTTGACCTTACCCAATTTGTTCTCCTCAGCATTCCGGCGAGCTGTTTCTATCGCAACCTCATCCGTGTCAGTCGCCACGAACTCCCAATTCGGGAATAAGCGAGCGCCAAGCATAGCGTATATGCAGGACGGCCCGGTGCCGACGTCGACAACGACGCAGCGGCGCTGCGGTGCGTCGCCGGAGAGCAGCTCCGCCGCCCAGGTGAGGTACTGCACGCGGTTGGGCACAGTCGGGACGAGCTGGCCTTCCGGCAAGGCGAGGGTGAGGTTGAAGTGGTCGCGGAGGATGGCGCGTGTGAGCGCCAGCGTGGCCGCGCGCGACGATAGGTCCAGCCCGACTTGCCCGCCGGCTGACTCGGTGGCATACTCACGCAGGCCCTCGTTGTTGCGCACGAGCGCGCCGAACTCGTACCGCGGGGCCTCTTGCGCGCGCGGCAAGGCCGTCTTGCGCCTCTTCCTTGGCCGTTTCTCGGCCATCTCATCGCAGCCCTGAAAGCTGTGGGCGAAAGACACAGGGCGGATGCAGCCGATCTGTAGACGTCGAGCTCTTTCTGTGGTGCAGCAGCGAAACACTCCCGTTCAAAATTTTCGTTGTGCCGAACGTGTCAAGCACAGTAAAGGAGCGGACTGTATGATGGCACCGCCCTTCAGTACACGTATGCAATGCACTGGTGCCGTATTGGCGTCTACCGAAAAAAGCCCCACACAAATGGACCCCTAAAATCTCCTATTCCCCCGCTTCCCCCCCCCCCCCCTCTGCATCCTCACCTCCTCGCCCCGTCAATCCCTCCCCCCTCCCTCGCAACATGTCCACTTCCGTCTCTGCCCCCGGGAGCACCGGACGAGCGAGGCGGTGCGGCATGTGCGCCGCGTGCGGTTCCATGCCCCCATGGGCCCCTGAGGCGCTGCAGGAAGCCAGCGCGAACACCCGCCGCGCGGTTTTCGAGCGTATGGCGATGAGACAGCGCCGCTTCATCGAAGAGCGAGACGCCCGGCTCGCAGCTTCGAAAGACCCCATGCGCCGCAGCGCACCGCCAGCCGAAAGCGAACAGACCGCACGCGTGGCACCCGGAGAAGCCGAGCACAAACTGCCCCCAGACGACACCCGCGGCCTGGACACCCTGCCCCCCGCCGACGACGTTCCACTTCAGCCTGCCCGCCCCGCGCCTGACTCCGCTCCACCGGCCGTTGAAATCGAGTCTGGCATCGATGTGCGCCCGGACATATCGAATATTTTGCATGATTCGGAGTTGAACGGCAACGCAGTCGCGTCGCCCCCGTCCCCAATACCGCGATCTATCTTGACTAGTTCGGTCAAATCTCCCTCGCCGAAGCGCAACTCGGTGCGTCGCGCTGTCGTTATAGACCCCAACCCAGAGCGAACCGCGCAAAGAGAAAGTAACCCAAACATGTCGGCCATGTCGTTCAAGAGCAGTGAAAGTGACGCAGACTCCTTTCATACGGCGGAGGAGGTCGCGGATGACCCTCGGGATAACTCAGAATTGGACATGGTTGAAGTCGCTATTGATGATCCTGCGCTACCGGAAACCCCTGCTGTTGACCATGGAAGTGACGCGAGTGATGATTTCGTCAGCTCGCGAGCCATTCCGGAGGAGCAGCCCGTTGGCTCTGACGAAAAGGAGATCAATGAATCTTCTGTCATATCCACGCAAGGAAATGCAACTGCTACCGAAACACCTTTGCAACAGGACCCGGCTAAAGTCGAGGGTCAAGCACGTGCTGGGTCATCCAACGAAGCAATTCCAACTATGTCAATGTTGCAACTTTCTCCAGAGCATTCATTCACATCACTCCCTTCAGAAAATCTGGAGGACTCGGTCTCGGCGAGGCGTACACCAGCGAGAGAACATTCGCGACAAGGTCCATTTGCGCCGTTCGAAGAGTACCCACTACCTTCGGACATCGTAACACTGCGGTCCGCAGATAGTGAAACACCTTTGAAGTGCGAAGACTGTGAGAGATGGCGCGGTAGGGTAGAAGAGTTGCAAACTAAGGTCGAACGACTCACCGCAGCGCTTGCCGCTCGAGATATGGAGTGCGCGTCATTAAGAGCTAAGCATGCTGGCAAGCTTCGCGAACCAAATAGGGCTGAGTCGAGATTGATCCAGGAACGCAACTCTCTGCGAGTGACAACAGAATTCTTGTATCGGAAGTTAGAGCGGTATGAGCGGGACGCTCATATTGGAATAGGCGATGTACATTAGAAGTAGTAAAAAGAGAGAAGGCTACGGCTCTGTATCATACTATGAATTGAAGGAGGACTTCGAAGGCGGACGGAACGGCGTGCAGCTCATACACGGATGGTACCCTTTGGCTTGACATTGCGGACACTTCATGAGCTCGGGTGAGCACAGAAACGTGAACCCATTGCATCGAGTACAAGTGAGGATTTTCTCGTCTGCGCAATCCTCACATTGCACTGCTTCTTTGATGGGCTTATCGATCCGAACGGCCTTTGCGAATTTTCGCATTGAAGCAGCCTCATGTGTCCCTTGATGAGACAGAGATGAGCCTACCTCTGTATCATCCCGTTCCTTCGTAACCCCAACCCCGTTGGATTCTTTCAATCTTCCGAATGATGTGGGCCCCTTCACTTCACCACTTTCCGAATATAACTCTTGAGCCCTCTCTCTAGCAGCCTCGATTACTTTTGAGCGATCCCTCAACGCTTCCATCTTTGAGCTCTTGATTTCTCCTGGATCCGTGTAAGGGCAGTGCCTGCATCGATGGGTACGTTCGTAGGATTTGCCGTCTTCACCAATTTCTTCCCGCGGTTTGACTCCGCAACAATCCCCTCGCTTTAAATGTGCGAAGAAAGTGAACACTGTGTATCCAGTCTCCGGGTCGATGTACGTTACGTCGCCTTCCGCGTTGCAGATATCATGCAGAAGACGAATTTTCCGAGCGTTAGGCATTGCTTCCCACTCACCTCCCTTCCGTATCCGAACGAGACGTTCTTGCCGAGCGTACTCTAGTACCGCTGCCTCTAAGCCCGACCGATCCCATATATTTGCAGGCAGAGATAATCCTTTTACGCTGCAGAACGCCGCCAATTCGAAAACGCCGACTTCTGACAGTTTTCCAGTTGCAACGTAGTGACCCACTCGAGCAGTCGCCTCTACAATGGCCAATTCATCCGCACTCAGTTCTGCTGTCGCAGTCATTGCACATCGCGTTCGCTTTGATTGATTGGCTTGTATCACTATCGGATTTCGGGTGCTTGACACTTGCCCTCGACATGATCTCGAAGGCATCCCTTTGAGAAATTGCGGATACACCGCCCATGCGAATCTCCCGCATCTATGTTGAGAGAATAATGATATGAGCATCTTACAGCCAGTGCAGACTGATAGCTTGCTCTGAATAGAAAGTGCTGCACTACCGACTTGATGTCTCCAGGCTGCCTGCGCTATGTACGGTACGGTATTCTTTCAATTCAGAATCCACGGGTCTCAATGTTTGAATTCCGGCTACGCGTCACCAGCAGATTGTCGCAGTACTCACATAAAAGCAAACAATCTGCCAAAATTGGTCTGCTAACCACGGTACCAAGCCCCAAGCCAAGTTTTGCTCATGTTAAACGTTCTCATCAGCTGCCACCTTGAGATAATCGTACCTCTCGTTGTCAACGGAGGAAAGGAATTCCGAGATGATTTTATGAAAATTCCAAATTTATCCAACGACGAAATAAATTAAACTCACACTACCGTACAAGTAGGCGTCGTGTTGAGCTTCTGAGGCTGATTGACGGCCGAGAGCAATCGTTGAGAGCAAGGAGCAACAGCCATGGAAAAGTTTGTCGCCCCCGGCGATAAGGTTGGAGAAGTAAGAAGCTATCGCCCCGGTCATGGAGTATATGTTCACAATGACATTTTGATCGCGAGTCTTGTAGGGACACTAATTACCGAAAAGCCTACAAATGGAGAGACGATGCCACTCCTTCGAGTGTCTTCATCAAAATACGCCGGAGGGGCTCCTCCACTTCCAGATATCGGCTCAGTCGTCACTGCGAAGATAACAAAGGTGACACCGCGTGCTGCAAGCGTTGAGATCCTCGTCATCGACGGACGGCCGCTTCGCGAGTTGTTCAAAGGGACCATCCGGCAACAAGATGTACGGCAAACTGAAATAGACAAAGTTGAAATTTACAAATGCTTCGCCCCTAGCGATGTGGTTCGTGCTGAAGTCATCAGTCTTGGTGACCGACACGCATATTTCCTCAGCACGGCAAAAAACGAACTTGGAGTAATATACGCCAAGAGTAGAGCGGGAGTGGCAATGATCCCTGTGAACTGGCAAGAAATGCAGTGTCCAGTCTCAAAAGCCCGAGAATTCAGAAAGGTTGCGAAGCAATAACTGGAATGAGGTGGATGGGTTTATCAGGCAACAACATCGTTTCCTTCACCCAGAAGACAAAAGTATTGAGAAGCGCCATGCGTAACATTACGATCATCACAAATCGTGCAGTTTCGCCCTGCACTTCACGCATCAACCGAAAGACGTGGTGAGTACATGCTTCTATTTTCTGGAGAAACAGTTTCTGTTTTCAACGTAGCTGCTCAGAGATGGTTATCGAATGGTTAAGCATTCAAACAGTTGCGAACTCAGCTTCGTCAGATATACGATTCCAGTACCAGGGTCATATATTCCAATACCAGGGTCATTCAGTTTGGTGAGTTCTAACCTCGATTCGTAGCCTTCTGTTCACCCTCCGAGGCCACCGCCGCCGAATAATCAATAATTGTGGCCTCCTGTCTCGTTGAAGCAGCTGCAGCAATTTGTTCTGGGGTTATTCCATTTTGTCCTGGTTCCTGAGATACGGCCATTGCGGAAATATCGAAGGCCATTGCGTCTACAGGAACCGAAGGATTCAGATCTGTCTGTTCAGGATCTGTACTGCTTTTGTCTTTATCGGACTTCTGGGCATCATCTTGGCCAGAGGACTTCTTTCTCTTCGGTAGAATGCTGTTAATGATAGCTAACATTTCCTACAGATACATGACATGTTGTTACGGTCAGCAACGTTGCATTCTACACGTACGAAGCCGGCTAGTGTGGCTCAAGTTTGTGCGCAAACTCACGTAAAGTTGGTCTTCATCGAATCTAGAATAGACGTCCGCGAGGAGTGGGGTTAGATGGGCATATGCTTCTGGTCGGATATTGGCTATCATGAGCTTCTCTGGGGCAGACAACTTGTACGTTTCAAGCTTCTCGTAGAGCTCTTTCACTTGCGTAGTTGTTTGTGTGCCTACTAGTGGAGAGGGTATTATCACGGCAGCACAAATATGGTTAGACGATCAGTCTATGAGTTGCGCCGATTTCGTTTGTTCTCCTAGATTTTTATCCTCTCTCGTGCAACTTACCTGAGAGAGATGATTCCAGATACTGGCGGAGGTCGCGGGAAAGATTCGCTATCGACGAAGCGGGTCGAATTTCTCCCTTTACCAAATCGCGCTTGTCGATCTCGAAGTTCTTTTCCTTCAGCCACTCTCGAACCTCTGCATTCGTCAAAAGTCCATCCCCTTCAGGACCAGACAGAATTTTCATAGCTATGCACGCAACAGGCACCGGCAGATACGGGGGATGAAGGGGTCTTAGCTCTGTTGTAAATAAAGATGTAAGGTATATGATAAGGTACACATTAAGTTAAACAAACGGCATACACCGATGCTGTAAGTAAAGAGACGTTAAATTAAAACAAAGGACAGATTACAGTCACAACGCTGCTTACAGTAAATGTTTACTCGGTAAAATTCCTGAGTAAACATTTACTCGCAAGCAGATTAACATTTACTCGGTGTCGAGTTGAAGGTAGCGAGTAAATGTTTACTCGGTGACATTCCTGAGTTAACATTTACTCGCAATCAGATTTACATTTACCCGGTGTCGAGTTGATGGTTGCGAGTAAATGTTTACTCGGTGACATTCCTGAGTAAACATTTACTCGCAATCAGATTAACATTTACCGGGTGTCGAGTTGATGGTTGCGAGTAAATGTTTACTCCTTAACATTCCTGGGTAAAAATTTACCCGCAACCAGGTTAACATTTACTGTATGGCATTTAATGGCTTACGAGACATTTCATACAGTCATTATAAACTGAGTGACATGTGATTGTTTATTCGACGATATGATATCGAGTATAGGTTTATTGTTCCTCGCTTTCCTTGACAGTTACCGTTTACTTACGGATAAAAGCGCGCGAAATCGGAACAATCTTCTCCTATTGCTGCGAACAGTTTGGTTTTTACGTACCATATAAAAAGGGACCCGAACTTTTTTATATCGAGCGCCCACCATCATTCTCACCGACGTCACTCTTTTGTTTTCTTGCGCGTTGGTTTTTTCGAAATCGTCACTCTTTTGTTTTCTTGCGCTTTGGTTTCTTTCACATTTGAACGCTTGTTGTTGTCAAGAACGGGTGTGGTATGTGTCGTTCTGTATTTCGTTTTCTAGACAGACAAATCGGGGATCTGACATTTCAACTGATTTTTTAGCCTCCGAGTTGTGTCTGATGGACATGTGCAGACAGGAAAAATAGCGCGATCTGCGTCGGTCGAGGCCGAGAGGACAGAGTCGACCCCTCACGGGGTCGATCGCCAGGTGAGAAATCTGACTTTGGCGGGGCTATAGCCACAGCGGGTGAGCCCGCTGGGGCCTTCGATACGCGTCAAGAAAGGGAGCCCTCGGCAGAAAACGAAAGCCTCAGAGGCGTGTAGCCAACTCAAAGTAGCTCTACTTCCATAACCCCTTTTTCGCTACACGTCCAGTCTCAGTTCTAAAGCTCCCAAGTTGCTACAGGGCGCAGTATGAGTCTGTCAAGGCTGTGGGGCTATCTTGCTGTCAAGCATTAAACGAAGGATGACAGGCGCTCTCTGAGTTTCGCTTCCCCAGTGAAACGAAACGCCGCCGCCCTTGTATTTAAAGGCCTTCATGCTGTCGTTTCTATTAAGTGGAAGTAAGCCATGATATCTTAAACGAAAAAATAGCCTGAACTTTATTTGGAATGCAGGATCATATATCCCCTCTCGTACGCCTTTGAATGCATGGACTATGCGCCGCGACGCGTTTGGGGAAAGCAGTTCCAAATATTTCGAATCTATGCTCATTATGAATGCGGAATCCTATTTGTAGCATGCCGCATAGTAGTAAAATGGTTCTGCTCGCTGTGCTAAAACCATTTGCAAATCGAACTGTCGGTATGGCATGCTCATATTGAGGTTAGCGCCCCGAACAATTGGCTGCCAAACACACAATTTGATACTGTCCTTGCATCACGTGCAGGGCCTTTCCGGGGGGCAGCAGGATCTGAAATGTTCACATGTTGTGTGTGTTCATGTTGCGTTCGGCAACCTGAAAAGGGGGGTGCAGATCTCATTATGAGTTTCGACTACCACAAAAACGGGCTCAAAACTCATTTTGAGTTTCGAGTACCAAAAAACCGGCTCAAAACTCATTTTGAGTTTCGAGTACCAAAAAAAAGGGTTCGAAACTCATAATGAGTTTTGAGTACCAAAAAAAAGGGGGTTCGAAACTCATAGTGAGTTTCGAGTACTAAAAAAAAGGGACTTAAACTCAAAATGAGAATGGCCTCGAATCATGCCCAGGGGCGCTTCAGGGGCGGGGCAGGTACTGTACTGTTTACATGCACAGTATCCTCATTTTGAGTTTTGAGTACCAAAAAAGGGGTTCCAAACTCATTTTGAGTTTCGAGTACCAAAAAAAGGGACTCGAAACTCAAAATGAGTTTCCAACCCGCAGAAAAGGGGATTTGAAATTGAAGTTGAGGTTTATACCTACAGTAATTGGTACAGTATGAGTATCTGTACCAGTATCTCTTTGTCCGTTTTCTATTTTAGTCTCACTTGTAGTTTTTTGAACTCTTTCTACTTCGTCAAACCTATGAGAAGCTTATCTGCCGTGCTGTAGTCCGTTGCGCCCTTTCAAGAAGAGTTGAAATTTTCTTTGCCAATGACGGGTGATGGAGTTCTCGACAAACATCGAACCGTGCAATGAACGTTGAGAGTGATTCATCGTTCTGGCAGTGATGTACGGGTACCCGGACTGTACAGCGTACGATAAAAAGAGTTCTATCCTTTCCGGTTCTATCCAAAGTGATCAGCATAATGACCGGGCCACCCACAAGGGCAACCCACTAAAATGGGGGTCGGCTAAAACGGGACTAAAATGATGATGTACTGTATCTATAAAAAATACGTAACAAGGATATTAAATGTCATGGATGCAGCACTTCGCGACAGAAGCGGCCCTGGACTTCGTATGAGACACTGGTTACGCACCCACGTACCTACGGTACCTCGCTTACTCGTGCTGGATCCTGCTCAATAGAGACCTGGGAATCTGCGGCAGGCCGAATAACTCCACTTAATTCACGCTGCTGCGCCTATTTGCGAGCATGAAATGATCGCACTCGCTCTCTCTCACGATCTTTGTCCTCTTCAGCATTCTGGGTCAAACGGGATGACACGGTCATTGCGTAGTCAGATATACCATGAAGGTCTTCCTCATCTGATGAGTCTTCATTGTCGTTCCCCATGTCAGACGCTCTGACGGCCTTACCATCGTCTGTAAATAAGAGACGATTGGCACTAGGCATTGCTTTTAGCAAGTCCAGTTTTCGCCTCTTGCGTTTCCGAATCAGATTCACCTCGAAAACCTCATAAATGCTGTCACCGGCCTCGTTAACATTTGACGAGTTAATTTTGTGATTGCAAGTCATTTCCTCGCTTTTAAACAATATTTGGAATGTTCATAAACAAAACTTCTGTTGTTTCAGAAAAGTGACGATGTACCGTTCATAGACAACATTGAGAATGTTTCTTAGGTCTAAATGTATTGCCGCCACACATACAATAGTACTGTTATTAATGTAATCTAATTACCGTCCTTGGACAATAATACTAATATTTTCCATGTTAAAAACATTGCTTTTGGACAACGTTGCGTAATCTCTTTAAAACTATCGTCCAAAAACAATACTTTTTATTGTTTTTCACGGTTTTGCCTCCGCAGTGTAGTATGACGCCTTCGCATCGTGTACAGTTGTAGTCTGTTCTGATAATGAAGATTAACAAGATGAGGAAGAATCAAATCAAGGCTATGAGGAATGGCGGTCAGGAACCGAAGACCTCCTAGAAGTGAATCTACCTGCGGAGCGTCTCCGAATTTTCAGTGTGGATCCTTCACCAGTGCTTATGAGCAGCATGCCGGGTCATTACTAAACGAATGCTGCCATCAAGACGACGGCCTTCAGACGAATTTCCGAGATGGCTGTACATGTCACTAAGAAAGGACTCAATTCGAAGGACGCTTTCGCCCTGGTTAACTACGATAA